ACAATAAATATAAATATTCAATTTGTATCTTGTTAAGTTCAGACATATTTGATTTTTTAAGTTCATCTTCTACTTCAACAATTATTTTTTTCTCTTTAACATTATTATCATATTTGCTTTCATAATTTCTATATTGCAATGTTTTCATTAAAAATTTCTCAATCACATCTTTATTACTAATATAATCTTTAAATTCACCAATATATTTACTTAAAAATAATTCTACTCTTGATTCAATTGTTTGAGTTGATTCAAACTCATTGTAAGAAAATTTGATCTTATTATTACTTTCATATGGTTTTTTATTAATTTTACTTAACTCATAAAAAATATACTTAAAATGATCAAATGATGCTAATTTAAAATTTCTATATGCCATCAAAACACAGCTATCGAATTCATTACAAATAAACAACATTTTTTCACTATCAGCATCAAACAAACATAATTCAGCATATTTAATATCTTCATTGTTTTTAATAAACACAGGAATAATCATAAAATTGATGTGTATACCATTCTTTAAAATTACACTTTCATGTTCATAATAAACTAGCTTATGATTATTTTGATCAACAAAATAAGGAAGTATTAAATCTTTGTTTCTATAATTATATTCTTTCATCAGATCAATTTCATAATACTCTTTGATAAATAATTTAATATTATTTCCTATCAAATCAGTACTAAACCCATTAATAATAATTAAACCCTTTAACAATGGTTCAACATCAACTTTTCCCACATAATAACCTCTGCAATCATTTAATTTTTCATACAAATCAATTAATCTACTATAACAATTCTTACATATTTTATTCTCAACCAAATTATCAGAAATAGTTTCTGTTTTTAATACAACAGAATCTCTATATATAACAGCTGTTTTTATATTATTATAACTGAAAAGATATCTTTTATAGTCACATTCATTAATATTTAAATCTAACTTAAACAAAATAGAAATCAGCATTTTATTTGAAAATTTTTTAATCAGAATGAGTAAAGAATTAACAGAATTATTAGATAAGAATTTGAAATTAGAAAACAATAAACCGGTTGTTAATGTAGTTTTTGTAGGACATGTAGATGCTGGTAAATCTACTATAGGTGGAATGATATTGTTACTTTCTAATATGGTTGATGCTAGAACACTTGAAAAATATAAAAAAGAAGCAGAAGAAAAAAACAGATCATCTTGGTATTTAAGTTGGTGTATGGATATTAATCCAGAAGAAAGAGATAAAGGTAAAACTCAAGAGTTGGGAGGATCAAATTTTATCGAACTTAATAACATTGTCATAAACATTTTAGATGCACCAGGACATAAGCAATACATTGATAATATGATAGACGGTGCATCTAGAGCTGATGTGGGTGTATTAGTTGTTTCAGTGAGAACAAATGAATTTGAAAGTGGATTTGATAAAGGGGGTCAAACAAGAGAACATGTTAGGTTATTAAAAGCAGGTAATTGTAACAAATTAATTGTCTTAGTAAATAAGATGGATGAGTGTGAATGGAATGAAAGCAGATTTGAGGAAATTAAAACTAAAATAACTAGATTTTCTTCTGTAATTTTTAATAATGGTAT